AACTGAAATTTTCAATTTCAAAAAAAGTTTCAAATAGTTCGGCTACTGGCCTCGAGGCCCATTGTTATGATTTAAAGGGGGCCTGGAGGTTCTTTGCACCCCTAGCACCCCTGGTTGTTGTGGCACTGTTTATGATATACATAATACCTATATAATCAATTATTAAAGTTTTGTTTATATTGCTTACCAATCTTCAATCAATTGACCGATATGTAGGTACCTAGTTCATAGTTAAGTTAATAATATCATAAAATAATATATATAAATATGTAGGTAGATAATAAATAATACGAATAACAAAAAATACTTTCTTCTCACAGGTAAAGTTTTATTTTTGTAGTTTTCCATTTACTGTTTTCTTAACATTTTAATAGTTGGTAAAATGAACTTAATAACGTTTAACTTTAAATATAACTTTTGGAAGATGTCCTTCGTTGACTGTGCATCGAAGTATGTTAAAACTTATAATGTACGATATGAGTTGGCGGAAAGAACTTATAGTGACTGGGAATTAAGTAAACATATAATTTATTATAAACTTGAATGAATGAAAAAACAATTATTTTAAGAAAAATGAATCTATTTCTTCGGGTTTGAATTTTGCTGTATGAAGTTGTAATTATAAATTGACCTTCAATAGCTTTTAGTTTTTACAAGTCTCATTGTTGAATAATATAATCGTTCAAATAATTTTGTTAGGTACTTAACCAATAATGTATACAAAATAATGTTAAATATTTTTTTAAAAAGATTTTACTTATAAAATATTAATGCTATACGGCAATCGGCAATTATTAAAAGTTTATATTTGTATCCTCATTTATTCGTGAACTTTAAATATAATAAGGTAATAAACATATTTGTCAATAGATAACTAGATCATTATGATTCCTAGTTGGTAAATAAAGTACACATATATTTGTTCTAAATAGTAGATTATTTGAAGGCCATCTAGATTTCAAGGACTAGTAAAGTCTCTATAGATGCTCAACTATTGAACAATAACTTTTAGTTTTTTTATTTCCGTATAATATTTTTTTCTCAGTAGCTCGTTAAGTTATTATCCGGTATAATAAGAGTGCACAAACAATATAGTTGTTAATAAACTATTTTTTTAATTGGTATCTGAAAACAATATAAGAATCTTTGCATTAGACTTTCAAAAATTTTGAACGAGTCGAACATTTTTTATCGACATTATATAGAAATCGAAAATATGAAACATCTAACACCATAAATGATGGTTAAGAATGTGAGAAAATATTTTGAAAATCTTATCATGCCCCTATTTAAAACGGTTTTATAAACATTTGTGAAAATCGTTTTTGTCAAAAATGATATTTGTGTAATTATTTTGTGTAGCGGGAATTAATGCTTTCCATATGTAGCAGAGCGGAGAAATATTATTACAAATGTTGTAAGGTAAACAAAAATAGTGAGAACAGGGCCGGCTCCAAACAAAATGTATACATAGGCAAAATCAAAATTTGTATTCCTTTCGTTTTTGTAATCTAAGTATCAACAAAATATTATCCTAAATACGGCCCTGTCTACCACCAAAGAAATGTCCCATCTTATATAATGCCGCCTCATGCATAGGTTTGTATTGCCTGTGCCTTCCACCGGGCATAGGGATATAAGTAATTAAGTATCTAACTCGAGAAGAAAATGTCTTAGAACTTTAAGGACACAAGAAAGTACAGTAGGTAGTGCATAAATTATGTGTGCTGTAAAGAGTTCAAAATACTTGTTTTTGTTATGAGGTAATCAAAAGAACTTAATTTAAGTATATGTTTGATAAAATATTATAATATGTTATAATATTATATGCTCTTGTCCGCCCAATATTGCAGGACTATCAGGAGTACAGTAAGTTGTGTAGTGTAAGATCTCACAGTACAGTGGTGTAGTTACGGGGGGGGGGGGGGTGTTTCCACCCCCTCAAACACCCAAAAAAAACTTTTCATATTGGTATTTTATCTTCTGTGATACTGATTCGATTTAAAGTAATATAATATTATTAAGGACCTTATAAATATGCAGTATTATAATTATATCAGATTTKTCATAGAAAATCATAAAAACCGAACGGTTGTATGCACTATGCATAGGTTGATAACTCGATATTAAAATATAATTTTATATATAATTTATTGAACATTGATTTTTTTAATACGGGAGTACTGTACGGAATAACAATAATAATATTATATTA